TCGATCAGATCGAGGTGGAGAGTATATGGACTTAAGATTTCAGGACTATATGATAGAACATGGAATAACGTCTCAACTCTCAGCCCTGGTATGCCTCAACAGAATGGTGTATCAGAAAGGAGAAATAGAACTCTGTTAGACATGGTTCGGTCTATGATGAGTTTCGCTCAATTACCTGATCTGTTTTGGGGATATGCAGTGGAGACTGCTACATACATTTTGAACATGGTTCTTCCTAAGAGTGTTTCAGAAACACATTATGAATTATGGAAAGGGCGTAAAGGTAGTTTACGTCACTTCAGGATTTGGGGATGCCAGCACATGTGTTGTTGTAAAACTCCAAGAAATTAGAACGTCATTCAAAATCATGTATATTAGGATACCCCAAAGAGATGAAAGGTGGTTTGTTTTATGACCCTCAATAAAATAGAGTGTTTGTATCAACAAACGCTACATTCTTAAAGGAAGACCACGTAAGAAATCATCAACCTCGCAGCAAACTAATATTAAGTGAGATTTCTAAAGAAGCTACTGATAAAACAACAAGAGTTGTTGATCAGGCTGGTCCTTCAACAAGAAATGTTGATGGAGCTGGCATTTCTGGTCAATCACATCCTTCTTAAGAGTTGAGAATGCCTCGACGTAGTGGGAGGGTTATAACTCAACCTGATCGTTACATGGGTTTGGCAGAAACTCAAGTCATCATACCTGATGATGGAGTTGAGGATCCATTGACCTATAAACTGTCACTACCCGATTTTCGAGGCTTCGATAAACTAAATCGTGACTAAAAAAGACGACAGCGAAAACAAATGAAATTAAAAAGAAGATAAAATAGGAGATAAAAATTTGATAAAATTTAAAACAAGAAAAAGGAGTCAACGACACCAAAATTAAATACAAAATTAAAATCAAATATTTCGAACGAGAAATACAATTATGAAGAAAATACAAAAGACTCTAAAAAAATGGACAAAGGAGAGAAGTATTGCTTCGAAGTTTCTTGCCTTGAATTTGATCTCCAACCGCTGTTTGTCTTCTCTGTTCTTCCTCTCTCCCAAACCCTAACTTCTTCTCCTTTCTCTCTCTCTCTCTTTCTTTTCTTTCTCTCTCTTCTTGGAGCCTAAACAATTAGACCCCTTAGATAAGGGAGTGGGCAAAATTGTTGGGTTTTATGTCCTAAAACTCATAGTTTGTAAACAAAAGCATATTCTATGTTCAATAAAGTTATTACTGTTGTTTATTCAATAAAAATTGTTATTGAATAAAGTGAACTTTATGATCATTAATCTAAATCCAATAAAATAAGAACACTCTGGCTATAGTATGATTACTTGAACTATATGTAGAGATATAAGAGTGGATCAAGTTCAAGTATATAGTCAAAATGATCTATAGTATAAGGATAAGGCTGAGTACCTTATTCTGGGGACACTATGGATGCGGCCAACTTTTTTATATGATATAAACAATGTGATCACTAAATTGTACATGTGGAGACATGTGAGTGAGGGCGTCCTATGCAATGAGTATTGCATAAAATCGAACCATGAAGAAAACCACTCTCACTTTATAATGTTGTTTACTGTTAAGACTGATTTTCTTTTCATTCGATGACCTAGGTAACTCGATCTTAATCCGGAGCTAACCATGAACACCTGTTTATTCGGATATATCCTTAGATTTGCATGGGTGAGAGTGGCTCAAGTTTGCCGACTCAATAGGCCTTCCATTTTTTCAAGTCAAATATCATCTTTTCCTTTATATCAATAAGGTCCAAAGCATTCTATATCCCTACTTCAGAATTCATAATCCATTATATAATGGCACAAGAAACATTCCCCAGTAATTAAAATGCAATATCATAGGAACAATGACCTTTGTTTAAATTTGAAGCCAAAGCGGCTTTTTCCTTCTTGCAAGTCTGATTTTGAGGACAAAAGACCCAACATTTCAGAGCACCCATGAACGCTAAGCGAGCGTGCCATGGAGGGCTTGTTTGTCCATGAAAGGTCCCTTCATGCCCACTGGAATGAATCCTCAAGCCATTTGTTGATATCACTCCAGCTGAGAATGGTGACCCTGTAATGAAATTCCCAAAAGTCCCTCCTTTATAGGCCGGAACAGTCGACGAATATAGTGAATAGCGTGCAATACCATTTAAGGGTTGTAGTAATCATGTTGAGCGATGTCTTAGGACCTTCACTTGCTGGCGGGTCAAACATCGACCTACAAAAAATCGTTATGTCATTCTCCATCCCTAGTAGAATCTTTTCAAATTCTAATACATTTTCGTACTTCCTTTGCGGAACATGTAAGATATATCGTGAGGTCATAATCTTTTTCAAGATTTTCTCGTCTCGAGGAACTCAGAGAAGGACTTACCATAGCAAACCCCCGTTAGAAGAGTTTGTATGCTCCACTGGTCTCTATTTCTATTTGATTTCACATGCCGAGTTGCTCGATTAGACTACTAAGCCATGTCTAACCTGATAATCATTCCCAAATTCTTCTTTAAAGGCTACCTTTGATTTTCTTCAACAGAAGCTCGATGACCGTCACCAGTATGTTAGGTTATGGAGTCTGCTCCCTGTATTTATAGCTTTGTCAACGGCTATATCCGATAAAGCTATATTTGGTAAAGCTATATATGGTAAAGCTATATATGGTAAAGTTATATCTGGTAAAGCTATATATGGTAAATAGCTATATATAGTAGATGGTTAAATCTGGTAAAGCTATATATAGTAAATTGAACCATATATATATATCCCGTCCGGTAGAGATTTGAAAATGTACTTTCTATTCTCTGTAATTCTCTCTTACTATACATACGTGAAGTCATCAATAAAAAAATTCTTTTAGCCAGAGTTCTCCTTGCACTTTTCTCTATCTTGTTCTTTGAGTTCATCTAGATCGAGCGTGTGCATTGTTGTGCGATCCTAACAACTGGTATCAGAGCTAGGCGAAAGTCACCATAATCTGTGAAGATGGAAAGTTCAAAGATTGGAATTGAGAAGTTCGATGGATTCGATTTCAGTTTTTGGAAGATACAGATTGAAGATTATCTGTACCAGAAAGATCTTCACGAACCTCCGTTGGGGGTGTAGCCGAATACCATGACCACGGAACAGTGGAAGCTCAAGGATCAACAAGCCTTGGGGCTGATTTGGTTGACGCTATCTAGAAACGTGGCGTTCAACATTATCAAGGAGAAGACAACGTCAGACCTATTGAAGGTGCTGTCAAATATGTATGAAAAACCATCGGCTATGAACAAGGTGTATTTGATGCGGAGATTGTTCAATCTACAGATGTCTGAAGGTGGACCTGTTGCTGATCATATAAATGAATTCAATATGATCATAAGTCAACTGAGTTCGGTGGAAATTAATTTCGAAGATGAAATTAAAGCGTTGATTTTGATGTCATCCTTACTCGAGTCATGGGATACGTTTGTTGCCGCAATCAGCAGTTCCCGAGGATCTGATAAACTGAAGTTTGGTGAAATTCGAGATGTAGTTCTCAGCGAAAGTATTCGCAAACGAGAAACTGGAGATTCATCAGGTAATGCTCTTAGTGTTGATCAAAGGGAAAGAAGTAAATCAAAGAGCTCAGACAAACATGGGCGATCAAAATCAAAGAACCGAGAAAAATCTCCAAATAGACCAAACATAATGTGTTGGAATTGTGGAGAAAAATGTCACTTTCGGACAGGTTGTACAAGACCAAAGAGGAAGCAGAATCACAAATCTAGAGATGACGATGATTCTATAAATTCAGCAGAAGACATTGGGGATGCTCTAATCCTCAGCGTGGACAGTGGAACGCCACCTAACGAAGCGAACCCAAGTGAGGGTTTGTCACAGTGGAACCTTATAACACTACTGAACTCGTTTAGAAATCTCTTTAGTCTCGAGCCACCTTTTGAACTCAAGCTCAACAAAACTCCAGACCTAAATTGTCCTTTTGGCAAAATGATAATCCTCAAACCTGTTCAAGTTAGAAAACCTATTAGAAATCAAGCTAAGAAACTTCCAACTGAACTCAAAATAACCGAATTTAGAAACAAAATCGAAAATAGAGCCATTTTCTTGGACTATGGCCGATGGATTACGCATGTTTTTGCAACTAAGTGAAATTCATAGATATCAACGAGATGAGTGTTCTGTAAAATAAAAATTGGAAGGATTCCACACAAAAGGTAGGTGAAAGATTTGCAAGAGAGTATGTCATAGATATCAAAGATTTGCAAGAATTAGAATGAAGAAATTAAAAGAAGGATGTTGAAGTTCATTGAGAGGGACCTTCTGCCTCTACTTCGCAGCCACAAGTAGAAGGTGGAGCGAAATGTGGCGCTTGTGGATGCATCCTTTGATTGCGCCAAGTTTATGCCTTTCTACGTTGGGCATCAAAATGGCGCCTAGTTTTCGTAGCTCTGCACTCTGCAATTTCGTATATTCCATTGGAATGGAAATTGATACTTAAACGTTATCGGATGAGGGCTACGAAACTAACTGTAGTCGCCAAGTCCACCGCGCAATGCCCATTGCCATTCTCTTTTAGAAATCAACAGAATGAAAGAACTTTTTGGGGCATTCTTAATTTCTCCTTACACCCCCATAAACTACATGACTCAGTGACCGTGGTCAGTCTTGGCCACCTCGTAACTGCATCAAACTTAGCGGAATTTACTGTGATCTTTCTGCTTGACTCCACATGACCTCAATTGTCATCTCAAACAGCCAAAATTTGCTCTTGGGAAACTTTGCGTACAATTGGTGTGTTCATAACATCATCATAACTTTCCCCCAAGTGTTCCTTGTCAACTCTATCTTGGTGTACAACGACACATTGTCATTGAAGTCGTCTTTGACGATAACAAGAAAATCCCTTAAACATTCGATTAGTCTAAACCTAAACCTTAGCAAGACATTGATCAGGTCGAAAGACTTATCAATAAACTTTCCTTCCTCGTGATTTCTCCTAGTCGTTGTCTTCGATATATCTCTCTCCTTGATCCTCATAATAGGTATCCTAAACTTGTCGAGACCCTTACAATCCTTACTACTTCACCAAGAATGGTCTCGTAGCGACCTCCCAATTGGCCAACATAGGTCTTTCTCACAACGAGATAACTTGTCATGTAGCTCGCTTGAGTACTAATACTCATCTGAGCTAAATGCAGGCTCTTTTGAAAGTAAAGGTTCCTTGTATAAGTCCTCTACATTCACTTAGGCCAACTTCGGTAGTGTCTTATGGTTGATCAAGTCACATTTCCTTTCGTACTGATATCTTATATTGGCTCGTGTGTGTGCATCTCTCAAGTTCTTATAAAGGATCCTATGGAACTCTCTAAAAACTCTTGTTTGGTAACTAGTCTTCCTTGAGGTCTGAGGATACTTTTATCTATGTCCAAGGTTTACCCTAAGACACATTATGTCTTCTGCTTCCCTTACTAGTGTACTATCACCATCTCACTACTCTTCAGGTAGTTTCCAAACTCACGTTATCTAGCTTCTCTACTTCTTTCTGAGCATGCTTCACAAGTATGGTGTTACACTCATGTGTGAAAATAGAGTTCTACTCTTTGTAATCCAAATAACCTAATCAAGGGTTGGTTCTTACTAACATGCATCTGAACTTTCTCCCTCCAGACGATAAAGGCATGGTCATAGCTTGACTGCTTTTTCCTGCTATTCTCGACCCTAAGGTTCACTGGACTACCTTAACAGTTTTCACGTTTATAAGCATGCTTGTTCTGACCTAAGAATAGGTTAGAACACGTTTATATGATCCTGATAACCACGTGCTGCTATTGGACTCGATCCTCTACACCAAGGTCCAAAATGACTTGTCATCCATTAGGTGATCCATCAATAGGAATATCCTACACCCCATATCTCATTAGTGGCATAAAGGGCACATCACACTTTTGGAAGTCCATAAACTTGAACTTAGCTCGTGGAGACTCCAACCAAACCTTGAAGTCATGACTTCCATCGCTTCATTCTCATTATTGGTGGATTTATCTCGCAACTTCCCAACTTAACCAAAACTCAGTTGAGGTAATGGTTTGCTTGAGGGGTGTTTAATTCTTATAGTGATCGTCTTTGGTTGTATGAACAATATTGCTTGGGTCTACTTATGTGGTTTGTACCAAGGAATTCTCTATACTGTCTAGGCCTACTACGTGCTCTCCACGGAGACATGCTTGCCATCTAGAATTATGGTCATAGGAGGCTAGGTCCAAGGTATTTCACCTCGTACTAGGCCTTAGAAAGTCTCATGTACATCTTTGGACGTCTCGCACTTTGCGGCGTCACCTCTCTATCTTCCTAAGGCTAGTAAGCTATAAAATGACCTCTCTCGACCTCCTCACAATAACTCGCAGCATCGACGTATAGAGTGATCATTCATTATTTATCGTCCTGAGGCATAATCATAGTTACCACGTAACCCAAGACAAACATAATATTCACATGTTTTACATCATATCATAACCTACTAAATAGGGTTAGACTGAATACCTAGTCGCGGCGAGGCGTGTCGTCGAGCTGAGTCACAGAGGCGTACGACTCTCTATCCTAAAAGTAAAGTCTAAAGAATCTAAAACCTGACTGCTCTGATACCAATCTGTCACGACCCGATTTTCGAGGCTTCGATAAATCGGATCGTGACTAAAAAGACGAAAGCGAAAACAAATGAAATTAAAAAGAAGATAAAATAGGAGATGAAAATTTGATAAAATTTAAAACAAGAAAAAGGAGTCAACGACACCAAATTAAATACGAAATTAAAATCAAATATTTCGAACGGGAAATACAATTGTGAAGAAAATACAAAAGACTCTAAAAAAAATGGACAAAGGACTTTAAAAGACCGACAAGGGACTGACGCTCCGGAACAACACCCCTCTGTGACAGTGCAGCTCTCGAGCACCTCCCCATATCGACTGGTACCTGAAAAAAAAAAAAAAAAGAGAAAGGAGTGAGTATAAAAATATACTCAGTAAGCAACCTACTTGTAGGCTCTTTTCACATCCTTATCTTAGTAGGTATCCACGGTCTTATCTCTAGGTTCTAGTGAGTACGAATCACGCTACAACTCTCTTTTCTGTATCTTAGGAGGCTTGCCCATTTTATGCTATGAAATGATCAGTGTCCTGAGGTGAGGCGCGACCTCATAAGTAAATCTGAGGGGATCGTATGGTTGGATCTGAATACGTGACTCTCTCTGAACATCATCCGTGGAGGTTAGCTGACAACCCTCACACGAGACCATACATCCACTAAATTCGGGGTGCGACCCCCTGTGTGCCGGTTAGCTACTGAGTCATCCTACGTGGCTCCACGTCCCCCCACTAAGGGACGGGTTTCTACGGCCCAGGAGTCCTGTTCAGAAGATCCCTTATCTATCACCACTAGATCTGGGCACCTGTCACACTTCCCTATCCAAATCTTCCAAGCTCAACGATCTTTGTACCAGAGCTCTGTCTCGACGGTATGGTATCGGAGAAGAGAGGAAAGTGGAGGTTCTGATGACACTACCTACACTGCTAAACTCTAGCGGGCTACCTACAGTTACCGTGGTGTCCTACTATCCTTTCTAGAGTGGAACTTGGTGGCTTAGACTTGGATTCATGCATCTCTAGGATTCTCGTGCCTGGTCTCACAAACCTATCGGGTTTAGAATTCTGGGCTCTAGATCTGCCAATAATTATTTTGCGGGTCTATATGCACGGTGTTCTAGAGGTCTCCCAATCTAGGATCTCGTTTAGCCTACTTAGTCACAAGCACCCTAATCTACGCTCATAATTCCTTCATATTCAACAAGAAAGATAACACAAGCAATCATCATGCATAGGAGTTAACACGTAGCAGTTCATGCAAATTAACAAACATGCTCAACGGGAAGATAACGTCCATCTTTACCCAGAGTGCAGATTTCACAAGTTTCCCATCCTCCTCATGCATACATACTTTATCAGAATCTCAATCAAAACAGATTTAATAAACATTTCATATCTAGCTTTCCTTAATCATTTCATTTTTGCAGTTTCCATACTAATATGGTAGGTCCGGCTAGCTAAGTTTATATGTGGTAGCATGCATGCTTTTTCCTAGCGGTTCCTACAAGTACTGCTCGTGGGAATCCAAATGGCTACTTATTTGGTTGACGTGTGCCTTCCCAAGCTCGAATTTATTTGCCGAAAAAGGTTCCAAAAATTCTGGAATTTCCTTGATAGGTCTAATTCACATAAAAATAGGATTAGAGTTGAAATCGGGGCAAAAAACAAGCAAACGAAGGCCAAACGGGTGAGAGAATGGGGCCCCACGTGCCGTGCACGCGTCGGCACACACCCACACACGCAGCCTCCACGCGTAGGGCACATGCGCGAGCAGTGCTGCGTTTCGAACCCAAGCGGCTGCGGACTTACCTTTAAATTTTCTGAGCGCGACACATGGAGCACAGTGTTTGGCGGAAAATGTCGGGTTGGACTGCGGGTTTCCAGACTGGTTCGGCAGGCGTACGGGTCAACCCGACTCAGCGCACCAGTGGAACGCTGCCACGTGACGCACGTCGGCTCCAGCGTGCTCTTCCGTTCAATGAACGACGCGTGGCGATCTCTTTCTCTCTCTTGCGTGTGTTTCAAATTTCCAGATGTTAGCATTTTCGCGTTTTCGATCTATTTTCTTCTAATTTTCTTATCTTTCAATCCGTAATCCATATTAACTAAGTTTCTTCACGAAAATTGTAAATCTCATATTTTACTTCTACAATATATTTTTCCTTTAGTTTTTCCTTGAACACAGGATGAGTTAAGGCCGTCCAAAGATACGAAAAAACTCACATTTTCTGTTTTCGTTCGGTTTACCCGAAGTCCAACTAAACTCCGATTTTCGTCCAATTCTCGTCCAAGAACTTCAAGAAACCTGTGTGAATCTTATTTTAGTTACATACCTCAAAAACTCCAGATCTAACCCTCAAGAAACTCCTCAAATCTAGATAAAATCGAAACAAGAAGTTCGGAACCTTACTTTGTCCGTTCTCGGATCTTCTTGCCAGAATGAGTGAATCCACCACCCAAACTCCTTTTCCAGCACCGAGAGAAGTATTGCTTTGAAGTTTCTTGCCTTGGATTCAATCTGCAATGGTGGTTTGTCTTCTCTGTTCTTCCTCTCTCCCTAACCCTAACTTCTTCTCCTTTCTCCTTTCTCCTTTCTCCTTTCTCCTTTCTCCTTTCTCCTTCTCTCTCTCTCTCTTTTTTTTTCTTCTTTTCTTTCTCTTTATTCTTGAAGCCCAAACAACTGGACCCCTTAGGTAAGGGAGGGGCAAAATGACTCTTTTGCTCCTATGTTGTTATTTTTATTTTTTATTTATTTATCTAAAAATTCGGGTATTTAATGAACAGGCAATAAATGATAAAGATAAAGACCAGTGGATCAAAGCCATGAATCTTGAAATGGAGTCAATGTACTAGGACTCCAAGAATGGATTATTACCTTTCGGGCACGAAATTCATTTGTCGAAGGAACAAAGTCCTAAGACACCTCAAGAAGTTGAGAATATGAGACACATTCCCTATGCGTCAACAGTCGGTAGTCTGATGTATATAATGCTATGTTCCTGACCCAACATATGCTATGCTGTGGGAATTGTCAGCAGATATCAGTCCAATCCGGGACGTGATCATTGGACTGTCGTTAAGAATATTCTCAAGTATCTTAGGAGAACGAGAGACTATATGCTAATGTACAGTGCTAAGGATCTGATCCTTACAGGGTACACTGACTCATATTTTCAGACCGATGTAGATTCGAGGAAATCGACATCAGGATCTGTCTTCACTCTAAACGGAGGAGAAATAATATCAAGAAGCATAAAGCAAGGTCGCATTGCTGATTCCACAATGGAGGCTGAGTATGTTGCTACTTGTGAAGCAATAAAAGAATCTGTATGGCTTAGGAAGTTCTTAACTTATTCGGAAGTCGTTCCAAATATGCATCTTTCCGTCACTCTTTATTGTGATAACAGTGGAGCAGTTGCAAATTCAAAAGAACCAAGAAGCCATAAGTGAGGAAAACATATTGAGCGCAAATATCATCTCATAAGGGAGATTGTGCAACGAGGAGATGTGATCGTCATACAGATAGCTTCAGAGCACAACATTGTTGATCCATTTACAAAGCCCCTCATGGCTAAAGTGTTTGAAGGGCACCTAGTGAGTCTAGTACTACGAATTATGTAATCTAGGGCAAGTGGGAGAAAAGACATGAGTATGTTATGCCCTATCTTATTGTATTTATGTCTTTCTCTCTATTCAACGTTATAAAACCCCACTAGAGTTTTAGTCCAAGTGGGAGTTTGTTGGGTTTTATGTCCTAAAACTCATAGTTTGTAAACAAAAACATATTCTATGGGGGCGTCCTATGCAATGAGTATTGCATAAGATCAGACCATGAAGAAAATCACTCTCACTTTATAATGCGAGTAAAGTGGTGTCTCACAACACGTCCTCGTTGACTAGTTGACCCGTCATTCCTGCCACGTTGTGATACATTTCAACTTTTTGCTAATACGCTTCTCTCTCATCTCCAGCAGCTGTGTATCCACGATCGATTATGATGGTGTTAATATAACACACGCAGAAGCAATTTGAATCTTAGGCACTTTTAGAACATCAATTATAGTAAATAACTAGCATGTCTTCTCCACTATCCTCCGGCCTTAGAACGGGATTGTGGAATCCGGTGAGTGACTTAACTTGGGATGGATTTTATATATACGAAGAGAGTGTTTGTGAGAGGTTTTTCTCAAGGTTTTCCACCAAGAAGACCTTTCATGCACCATGATCACTCTATTTATAGAGTCATGTTTACATGTTCATGCAAATTTGAGATCACCAAATTTTGATGCTCAAAATTCCGTTAAATGTTTGGGATTATGTGGTAAGCATGGATGTTTTTGTTAACCAAATTTTGACACTCAAAATTCCACTCAAACTTGTGGGTTTATTTGGCAAGCAAGTTTGGTTAAACCAAATATTGACACCTCAAAAGTACAGATTTTTCCATTAAATGAAGTCAACATTTTGACTTTCTTCATTCTAATTTAAAAATTAATTTGAATAATTAATTTCAAACTAAAGTAATATTAAATGATTAATTAAACTATTTAATTAATATATAATATTAACTCAAAAGTCAATCCCAATTAATTCCAACAAATATTTGATTAAAATATTTAAAACTTATTTAAATATCTCAAATTCTCTCTTTTTGTTTAATTCGTAACTAAAACAAAAATGCAGTTAAATATATCGTATATATGTAGTGCATATTCCCTAATTTGAATTCGAACACTTCGAACTCACTCGTCACACTGTTCTATTGTTTAGTTCGATATGAGCTAGCAGAGGGACCTAATGGACCTATAGATCATGGGCTCCAACGATCCAAGATTAACCGGTTAAACTCATTAACCTTGTTAATAAACAACACTCGTTAACTACTAGGACACTCCAGTATAGCCTAGTAGTTGCACTCCCCTCACTATAGATATATTTCTGTCCATTTGATATAACCATGATTAGTAAGCCGATCCTTCACAGGTTGTTCGTAGCTAAAGTTGGGTCAATTAGCCGTTTTACCCCTGAAGTTGCTTCTTGTTCCTTATGTCCCACTGATCCTCTTATGAACAATTGGTTTGTGGTCCAACCAGTAAACCGAATCCCTCTCACGCCAATGAGTGGGTGGGGCCCCTTGTTCAAGACCTAGAGTCAATACTTAAGGGAACTACTTGTCTTCTATCCCTAAAAGTGGGTAGGAGCGAATTCCATCTTGCACTCCACGCCCCAGCTATTCATACAGTCTTACCCCTGAAATGGGAGGCCAATTGAGTCGGCAAACTCGATCCACTCTCACCCATGCATATCTAAGGATAATTCCGAATAAACAGGAGTTCATGGTTAGCTAAGGATTAAGATCGAGTTACGACATTATAAAGTAAGAGTGGTTTTCTTCATGGTCCAATCTTATGCAATACTCATTGCATAGGACGCCTCTACTTACATGCCTCCACATGTACAATTTAGTGATCACATTGTTTTTATCATATACAAAAGTGGGCCGCATTCATAGTGTCCCCAGAATAAGGTACTCAGCCTAATCCTTATGCTATAGATCATTTTGACTATATACCTGAACTTGATCCACTCTTATGTCTCTACATATAGTTCAAGTAATCATACTATAGCCAGAGTGTTCTTAGTTTATTGGATTTAGATTAATGATCGTAAAGTTCACTTTATTCAATAACAATCTTTACTGAATAAACAACAATAATAACTTTATTGAAAATAGAATATGTTTTTGTTTACAAACTATGAGTTTTAGGACATAAAAACCCAACAGATTCTTCCAACGTTCAATTTTTCTAGATTTTGCTGAGCGATGCATTTCAATCTAATTTTTTGGATTGTTTTTTAATCTTCCATCGTTAACTAGAAATGACTTGGTTTCTTCACGAAAAATTAAGATATCAAATCAACCAATTCGATGCCATTTTTTTTTTAATTCTTAGGAAAATAAAGACCATAATAATTGAGTTCAAATTTTGGAAAAAATGTATTTTTTTATTGAAATAATAAATCTCTCGAATCTAATTCTCAAACAAATCATGGTCAAGTTTCAACACGAAACTTGTAAGAATCCTTTCCTGGAACATCGTAGTCAAATCGAACGATCCTACAACCAAAACTGACACTCATCGATCCTCTTACTAGGACTAGAGATCCCATATATATTGATATGTGGTTCGATATGACTAAGGTACGTTCATGAAACGATATCACTGTGATAGATATAAGAATATTTAGGCTGTGATAAATTAGGGAACAATATGACCATGAAGTGTTTAGGATACGATATGATTATGATACGACACCTGAATGACAAATATATATATATATATATATATATATATATATGTATGTATGTATGTATGTATGTATGTATGTATGTATGTATGTATGTATGTATGTATGTATGTATGTATGTATGTATGTATGTATGTATGTACACACACATTGTGATATAATATGAAAATGATATGAAATATTTTATGGTACGAGACAAGTGATAAGTGACATGTTTATGATATGATATATTGTGATGGTATATGTTATGGTATGATAGATATGAAATGTTACATCTTTCCATGTAAAGTTATGTGATGGATTATGTGATGTTTATCCATGTATGCGTGATACATACATGAAATATGTTATGGAGGGAAGGAGAAAGGAAATGAAATAAATGTTATCTTATGAATAAAAATCATGGGACCTCATGCATGTATGTATGTCATGTGTATCGGGATACTTCCCCGTTATGTTCGTAGGGATGCATACCTTCGATATTTATGTTCGACATGTTATCATGAAGACCTTTTCTGTTATGAGAGTCTAATGACGTGTATTGTGTTGTGCCCGACAAAGTCCGGCCTAAAGGGCACGTATAGATGTCTGATGGGTCCATGTATGCGTACGTGGGCCGTGTGTAGAAAAGTACCATGCATCAAACTCTGCCAAGAATTGAAAAAAAGCCGAAGGTCATGGTATGGTTTAAACGATAGGTCACAGTCATATATTGGGTGTGATTGTATTACTAACCGAATAAAATAACTTTACACGATATAAGGTGTTTACCAAACTAGTTGTGTTTGTATATCCCAACACCTTTTTCGCCTTTATAAAAAAATTTAACAGCACCCTCTAGTAATTAAATATTATTTTGTATTTAATTTTGGTGTCGTTTATATTCATTTAAATTTATATTTTTATCGAATTTTCCTGTTTTATTTTATTTTAGTTTTCATTTTTTGTTTGTTTTTTAATATGTGAAACTTTTAATAAGATGTATGAAAATTCAAGGATTGTGCCTACCATCCTATTTTAAAATCCATGTGAAGATGGCAGAAATATGAGGGTTTAATACCTATTTTAGATTTTATTATTCTAAACTTTCTCTAAGATTGGTTAGTAGAAATCATTATTTTATTTAGTTTTAATATAAAAACGATATTGCAATTTTGAAAACTTGTATTCATATACAAATTTAATTTTTTTTTCTTCATAATTTAAAAT